TACTATCCCATCTTCTCTTTTCAATAATTAAATATTTATCTCACAAGTTTTCACTTTCACCAGATAACTATTATTACTAGCACGTTCATACTGCAGAACAATGCCGTGGTAATTTTTCTTCTCCTCTGAGTTTTACTGATTGTCTTTTGATTATTTTTCCCTCTACCCATCTAATGTCTTTTATTTGGTTTCTTGAATACCTGATACTACAACAATAGGACCAAGACCAAAGAGGAGCAGCAAATGGCATAGCTATGACTGCAATGTCACTTTTTAAAGCTGTTGGTCCAGCTGCTGGAGGAGCAGTGTGAGTGCTCACTTAATTATGTTAGCCATCTTTTATGTTTTTTTATACCTTGGACACATGTTTACTAGTTGAACACGTGTAAGCCACTTCTAGGGTCTTGGCATAATTTTAAATAAAATAAAAAAAGAAAGCAAAAAGAAGTATGAATTTGTACATTTTAATCCTGCCATTGGGATTTAAATATTTTAAAGCCTAAACCTGTGGAACTTTTGGCTCCCACCTTATCTATGAATACTTGGAACTTCTAAAACTAATGAACTTTGTATCTCCATTTCTTTTTCAATTTATAAAAGCATATAAGGAATTATTTGATATAAATTTATTTGTTATGGAAAAGTGAAATTTGTGTAATACCTGTCCTGATTCTTTTGGAAACTATTTCATTAGCATGTCCGTATGGTGTCATATCAATGATTCTTAGTTGATTATAAAGTACTTGTGTGATATGAATTGATATATATATTGGATTTGTTAATTAGTCTCAATGATCTATGCAGCTTTTCTTGGGCACAACGGCGTCAGGTTGCTGCCTTCCTTCCAGGTAACAACTCTCCACTAAGTCCATTTATTGAATTTCGGTTGGCTACACTGCGTCGGACATTCTTTATCTGAGATCACACACATTCCTATAGTTGCCTATTTTGACTTTATTGGTTTAAGAAACATAATGAATATATTAAGTTGTTTCGTAACATTCATTCCCATATGAGGTTGCTTTTGATCATCATGGCCAATTGTTCTTTCAATTTCTGTGTCTTTTGTCCAAAGAATCATGTTTTGATGGTTGGTTCCTTTAGAGTGGTTCCATCATAGTTGGAATTGTGATTCTATCTTGACAAGAAATGTGATAATGATTCAGCTTTTTCTCTTGACCACGAAATCACGGTTTTGGAACAGGAAAGTCACCCCCAGTAGGTGATTCCACAAACTGGGTTGACTCATTGAATTGTGGAAACTTCGTGCATTGGGTCGTCCTCCTTTAAGATTAGTTGAATTGAGTTACAGATCATGACATGGGTATGATTTCGGATGCACAAAATGGTGTCAGGCTCTCAAGTCTCTACAAACACTGGTTTCTAATTTCACAAGTACTGCCATATCAATGTGGTTTTGGTTATCTACTTCCTGAAGATATTGTTTTGAAGTGTTCCCTCATAATTTGGAAAATTTTCTTTTGATTCTTTTATTGGTTTGAAGTAATTCTTTGATTCTTTAGTTTCAATAAATCTATCCTACATCATTTGATCACTCAACCATGCCATGTCTCTTTTTATCCTTATTTTGCAAAACAAAGTATGGAGTTAGCTATTGATTTTGCCAAAATTGTTAATAATGCAATTTGAAAGCAGCCCAATTCATAAACACAACACACTAACTCCGTAACCAGCGTTTACATCTATAAGCACACTTCATAAACACAACACAGCGTTTACATCATTGCAGGTACCTGGATCATAATCAATTTACTGGGAGAATCCCGGATGCATTCTATAAGCACACTTTCTTGAAAGAAATGTGAGTTTCTGTCTTCAATCAGTACAAGCAAATTGCAATTACCCAACACTAGGTGAAATGCTAATTGATTAAATGTTGTCACAGGTATATTGAAGGAAATGCTTTCCGGCCAGGTGTGAACCCTATTGGCGTCCACAATGTCCTTGAAGTTTCTGACACAGAGTTCTTGTTTTAGTCAAAGCTTCCACATTATTTACTCGTAGAATTGTTTCTTTTTGTTCTTGCTAAAACTAGGGTGTTTCAGTTTGAATTGGAATGTAGTTCTATAAATAGGATGTATATAATGTACACTAGTGTTTTGGGAAATTTAAGAAATTTTGGAAATAGGTTGTTTGACAGTTTAAAAATGTGTTGTTGGATTCTTTGATTGTCATTATTTTGTGTGAACAATGTCTGGTGGAACACCATGGTGGGGATGTCTGGTTGTTTCAGTTTGAATTGGAGCAACGTCTGGTTGTTTGACAGAAATTTAATAAATCGAATGTTAATGAATTATGTATTGTGTCGAATGTTAATGATTCAGTTAATTTGAGTGATGCTTTAAAATTATAGGTTTATTATGGATTGAATAAATTATTAGGAATTACAAGTGTATTGTTTTCCTGCTTTGGCGACCAATTTATTAGTCGCGACAAATAAATAATTTTTTTTCGCAAAAAATGACAATTGCCGACCAAGAGTTTTGGTCGCAAAAAATACATCTATTACCGACCAAAATAGCTCTTGGTCGTGGAAACTCACTTTTGCCGACCAAAAGTTTTGGTCGCGAAAAGTAACAAATGGCGACCAAAACCTTTTTTGGTCGTGGAATGTCACAATTGGCGACCAAACTTTTTGGTCGCAAAAATATCACTTTTCGCGACCAAAGTGTTTAGCGACTAAATGAATTAGTCGCGGTAATGATATATTTCGCGACCAAAAATTTAGTCGCCAAATCCGACTTTTGCCGACCAACCAAAATTTTGGTCGCGAATTACTTTTGCCGACCCGCAATTGGCGACTAAAGTAGCGACCAAAAAATTTGGTCGCAGATAACTTTTGCCGACCAAAAATAGACTTTTAGCGACCAATTTTTTTGTTGCCAAAAGTATTAATTCTTGTAGTGTACCCACAAAATAACATATCCAAAATCCAAAAATCATGCACAAAAAGAAGCAATCAGATGCGTTATGCAGCAAAAGACTCAGGTTTGCCCATAAAAATCTTAATATTAATACATTCTACGTGCATCTGTGTATTATGATGTACAACAATTTACAAAAACAGAAAATGTAAGAACTAGCACCTGCTAAAGCCAAAAACACCCCTGCTATATCCATGGCCTGTACTATGTAAATCGTTGCTTCAGTAATTATATGCTATAACCAGATAACA